GTTAAAATAATTATTCCGCAAAGAGTTTACAGTTACAGTCACAGCTTTTATTATTACGCTTTTTATTGTTTTAAATGCTCGCGTAATAAACGGAACAAGTTTACTCGCATTTTTATAAATGAACTGTTGTGATTGTAACTTCGCTTAATATCATAATTAATGTTAACAATACCAGTGTACAACGGGTTGTTAAAGAGAGCGCTTAGCGCCAATGCAAAATTGGTCATAAAAAAAAGTGGCAGGGCCACATGAAGGCATCCCTGCAAGATAAATAGATAATGATGCAAGATTTTTTTTATCTACCTAATGATTACTTAGTTAGATTTTAAACTTTTAGTTTGTTTTGTTAAAATTTAACTATATAATAATTATATTTAGTTAGCTTTTTAGTTAGCATATCTATATATAAAGTTAACCACTTGACGAAGAAAAAAAAAATATTAGTAAGGAAGAGACAAAAGAACTCAAGAGAAAAGAAAAAAAAAGAGAGAAAGGAAATGAGAAATGAGAAGGAAAAAAGTGAAAGGAGAAGGAGGAAAAGAGAGGGAAGGAAAAGAGGAAGGTAATATTGAAAGAGCAACTCATTCTCTTGATTTTCTTCTTTTACTTTTAAAGTTGATTTTCTGTAAGTTTTTTTTAGAAAGCTGTGATATGTTGTGACCTTGTCAAACTGTTTATTTTAATTTCTTTTCTACTCGATTTTATTCCAACCTTTATTTATATTTTTGATTGGATGAAGTTAGTTATAAGACTGATAATTCTTTGGTACCAAATTAATGTTAATAGAATGTGTAATTTTTAACTGTATGATTCTGATGTGAACTGACCCACAAAGATTTGTGTTCAGATAATAATAATGTAAGGGACGCCTTATTTGATTTGAGCTCCGCTAATCAGAACCTTTCACTTGCAGACATAGTTATTAAAACTGGACCGACCCGGGAACCGCTAAACCGGTTCGGTTGAAGCAACGGACTGGCCATGCATCAAAATCGGTGCGACTCGGTCCAACCCGACTGATTTTCATAAAAACCGGTGACCCGGTCGGTTAACTGGTGACCCGGCCTAGTCCCAAAAAAAAATCCAAATTTTTGTTTTTTTCAAAAAAAAATCATAATAGTCATACTTGAATATTTTTTTGCTTATTGACTTACATAAGTTATGTACCTACAACATTAATATTATCTCAATTATGTACTATGCATAAAATTTTGAATTAATTTATAGTTAGAGATGTCGTTTTCTGAACATAAAGCCCCGTATCACGATCATTATATTTTTGTTTGATTTTTTATTTGATAATAATATGTGATTTATTATTTTTTGTATTAAAATATTTGAAATTTTTATCATTTTTTTAGATATTTGAGTATGTTTATAATTTTTTAATATAAATTATAAAATTACATATAATTACGGGTCATGCGGTTGAACCAGTGACCCGGTACCTCGACCGGGTCAATGACCAGACCGGTTTTAATAACATTGCTTGCAGATACCTACAAAATTTGAGCTTTAATAGATTCAGTTAAATATTACATAATTTGTTATATGTTTATTATTCTTGTCATTATTTTCTCATTATGAATATATATGAGAGAATGATATTATCTATTATTGCGGCTGGACTGGTTATAGTTTAAAAATATCAATATTTCTGAGATTTTTCTCACATTTGCTTGTTTTTATGCTAACATTTCTAGAGAATCACCATGCCTAATTTGTGTTTCTCCGGTGAAGGATGGGGATTTTTATATATTTATGTGAAGATCATTCAGAGTTTTATATTGTGTTAGGAAATCAAGAAGTGGTGGCTACATTTTATCAAGATATAGTAGAAACTCTTTATATATAGGATTGACTAAATAAGATTGAAGCAGTGTACAAATTTGTAACTCTAAGTAGTTAGGATTAGGGATGGCAAAACGGGCTCGGCTCGGCGGGCCGCCCAGCACTGCCCCACCTGCCAAACGGGGTGGGGCAGGCTGAGTTTTACAGCCCACTCTCAAAAGCGGGACAAGGCAAGCTGACTCACTTTTTGGCGGGTTGATGGTCGGGTAAGACGGGCGGGGCGAGTCAATGTAAAATAGGTTCAGGTTGGTAGGCCAATATGCCCTGCCCGCCAAACAGGGCGGGGCAGGCCAAATTTTTCAGTCCACTTTAAAAAACGGTGCGAGATGGGGCGGGTTAGCTCATTTTTTGGTTGATTGATGGCGAAGTGGGGCGGGCCGCCCAATTTGCCACCTCTTGTTAGGATGTAATTTTGTATTGCTTTGATGTAAAATAGTATAGGATATAGAATCTAATATAAAATAGTTAGAATGTATAAATATAAGTACTTGACTCAAATCTATGTACAAAGTAATGAAGTATGTTTTTTTATCAATCGATGTTTAAAAATTTATATTCCTCTATTATATTGTCATTATCGATAAAATATAGTGTAGTAAGTAATATGATATTTTTTTGTGTTAGTTAGCTATAGAGAATATTATAGAAGAAATAAAAGTAGCCGTCTATAAAAGTAGAGGAGAGTTATATTTACAAACTTTTTATTTACAAACTCTTACCAACTATACTATGTTCTTCCGAGAGAACACTAGATTACACTATGTTCTATAGGGGGTACATAGTATAATTTGCAAAAATTTGTAAAAATTTTTTATAAACTGTTCCTTCCCCGTAAAAATAAAACATAGGTTAGAAATATTCTATAATGATTAGAAAAAAGAAAAGAAAAAAAACCATAATAGCTTTACCCAATGCCTCGTCATTGTGAATGAGGGAACACATCACCAATATATCAAATGGTGAGATACAGAGGAGTGAAAAATCTTTTCTTATAAGGTTTATGATTCCAGTATAGTAAACCACGTGATTAACCCTTTGGTTGAGTTTCTAAGGGACAAACCATGCCTTTTGGGCTCTGTCAATGGGTACAAAACACTCCATATGAGTGGTAGCCGAACAGAATTCGTTAGGGACAATAATCATATTGTCACCTTTTAAGTAAAAATTTATCTGATACGTTTGAAATTTTTTTTGTCAAAATGTTACGTCATAATTTTGCTGGTCTGACAAACGGGAATGGATTAGACACGTGTCAGCATCTGAATGGTCAACCATTCTCGCTGGGTTGCCCAGCTAGAATGACGTAACTGTAACTGTACTTTTGCACGTGTCAATATTATGTCATTCTAGCTGGACAGTCATGCGAGAATGGTTGACCATTCAGACGCTGACACGTGTTCAATTCATTCTCGCTTGTCAGACCAGCGAGATTGTGACGTGGCATTTTGACAAATTTTTTTTCAAACGTGATTATCAAGTAAATTTTTATTAAAGAGGTGACAGTGAAAGTCCCAAATCCGAAATCCGAAACCCAATAGCCTAGCCGACAACCGAACAGATTACGGTTTGAATCTGACGGCAATAGCGTCCAGATTAGTAGTAACAGTGTTACATGGGATGACGTGTTTTGTGGAAAACATTCATTGAAATGAGCAAACACCACGAATTCATTTTATTGGAACGTGTATTGCACAAACACAAAATAGTGTATGTCCCATTTGACACCAACGCACTCATTGACATTTATTTGTATTAATAAAATTATATAAAAATCTCTTACCGAAAAAAAAAAAATATATATATATATATATATATATATATATATATATATATAAATCTAATAAATAATTTTAAAAAATCCACAAAATATATTATTAGTATTTTTCTTTCAAAAAATTATTTTTAAAACATATTTAATAATCAATTATTTATATTTTTAAGAAAAATATAATCATTTTTAAAATAGATTAATTTAAACAATTACTTTGTTATATATATATAGGGTCAGGATCATTTTACACCAGTGTAAGTTACACTCTCAATCTTATCCGTTGATCCCACTTATATGTAAGGGCTCTAATTTATTAGTAATGTGAATCACTGGATACAAGTGGATCAATGGTCAAGATTAACTATAAGACTTCTAACTCTTACACCGGTGTAAGAATATCCTGCCCCATATATATATATATATATATATATATATATATATATATATATATATATATATGATAGGATATTGTGACAACCAAATAATGTTACTACCAATGTTACTACCACATCTTAACCGTTGATTTTTGTCAATCAACGGTTATCATTTATTGTGAATTAATAATTAATTAATGAGTTTGATTTGAAAAATGATAACCGTTGATTGTCGGAAATCAACGGTTAAGATGTGGTAGTAAAATTATTTGGTTGTCACAATATCCTATCCCTATATATATATATGAGGTAGGATCATTTGACATCAGTGTCAAATTTCATTTTTGACATCTCATCTGAAAGCCAATTGATCACAAAAGATCAATGGTGTCACATGCTTACAAATCAGATTCGTTGATCATTTGCGATCTAATGGCTTTTAGATAAGGTGTCAAAATTAAAATTTGACACTGGTATCAAAGGATCCTAGCTCTCTCTCTCTCTCTCTATATATATATATATATATATATATATATATATATATATATATATATTCATTGATTCATCAATTATCTGGTTAATCCAAGTATTATCAAACTCATTATAAGGAGGCTACATTATCTGGTACTATATAAAAAATTAATTTAACTCAAAAGTTTAAGTTAATAGGTGAAATTACATTAATAATTTTATATATCTCTCACCTGGGATAAAATAGATAATAAAATGGAAGAGATTTAAAGTGATCATCTCTTCAGTTAGAAATTTGAATGAAAAAAGAGAGGAAAGAATAGAATTTTTGATAATTGATTTTTATATTATAGTTAAAATAAAATAAAAATTAAATTTTAATTTATTTTTTTACTTTAAGAAATCAAAAATACTTTATAGAGTTCGTAGATTTTGAGAATTTTTGGAGGTAGTTGTTTACGTCAGCATAAGAGTGCCTTTTAAGAAAAGGTCATATTCCACGCACCAACGCAGTTTGTGATTGTTGTGGTGGGAGAGAAGAGAAGAGAAAAAAAAATGGCATCTTGGAATTCAGTTCCACTCCAAGTCACTTATGAATTTCTGGGTTGGTTCGCTTTCCTTTCATGGTCCATCAGCTTCTACCCTCAAGTCATCTTGAATTTTCGAAGGAAGAGGTTATTTTTTACTCTCTCATCACACCCTGTATTCGATTCTGTTGCGTTTCACCCTCAATATTCTATTTATTTATTTATTTTAATCTTTTGAATTTAGCGTGGTGGGACTCAACTTTGATTTCGTGCTGTTGAATTTGACCAAGCACAGTTCCTATCTCATATACAATGCTTCTCTCTACTTCAGCTCTGCTATTCAGAAGCAATACTTTGAGAAATACGGTTATGGGCAGGTTCTTTCTCAAACTAACTTCAATGAAATACCACACCAAAACCGTTTCTTTAGACTTTATGTTATGATGCTAAACTGTTTATGTTATGTTATGTTATGTTATGCTATGTCATCATGCTATAGGGAAAACTAAATTTTTGCATATATTTGATTGCTGCATGGTCATGGAATTACAATTTTTGCAATCTAAATGTGGGTAATATTTTAAGAGCCAAACCTCGAGTAGCGGTAAAACTGTTCTTTTGTGACCGAAAGATTTTTAAATATGCAAAGGTAATGTTACGTATAAGGATTGTCTTCACTCTACTCTCGCCTAGTCACACTTCTAACTTCCTAGACTAATTTCTGTTCTTATGTATTAAAAAAAATATAAACATAATTGCTTACTTAAGGTCTTGGCTGGGACAATAGTCTTAGAATATAATCAATTTAAGACTAGTTTCCTGCTTGTTGCAGGAAGGGTAAGTATAAAACTGATGAGGTCTATTATGCTGAGGATTTAATTAACAATATTGAAGTTTTATTTTTATTTATTTCAGATGATACCTGTGGCAGCAAATGATGTTGCTTTCTCAATCCATGCTGTTCTGCTGACAGCAATTACATTATTCCAGATTGCAATCTATGAAGTAAGAATTATTTTCTCTAATTCAGAATATTGTTCTTATTTGTTCTGTGAACTGAATTCTCGATTTCGCTGAATTTGGTAATTAATTCATTGTAGCGTGGAAGCCAGAAAGTGTCGAAAACTGCTATTGCAATTGTCTCTGTTGCTTGGCTAACTGCTGCAGTTTGTTTCTTTATTGCTTTGTCTAATCATTCCTGGCTTTGGCTTCTTTCCATCTTCAAGTATGTTGTCTCTTCTTGTTAGTTAATGGCATCTGTTTCATGTTCTCTGATGTTCAACTTAACTCCATAGAATATTTGCATGGATGTACTTGTAGTTTTGTATCAGATGTAATTTATTTTTCAACTGGAGATTTCATATTGTTGAATCTTAACCAGTTTGTTACCAATTTATGTAGCTCTCATGTTGTAATTTTCTCAGTGCTTTATTGAGATCATCCTAATTCATCTGTAACTGGCATGCTATTTGCGCAACAGGATAAATGATTTCTCATTTTTCAATAATTTAAGAGATGTAGCGCTGCTAGTCTCGGAAAATATAGTCTGTTTGCTCTGTATATAGTTAGTCAGCACTTAGTTATAACATGCATGTGAAATTGATGATTTGACTGAAAGTATTTCAGTTCTTATTTGAGAGTCCTACAGAATTGTTGATCTCATATATGCCATGCCACCTACAAAAAGGTCACGGGTTTGAATCCAAAAAACAGTCTTTTTATAAATATGCAAGGGTAAGGCTATGTACAAGGATTTCCCTCACCCTTACTCTCATTGGCTGAGGTTTGATGGGGAGTGGTTTATATATGCCACCTGCAGAAACATCAATAATACCTAACATCTCAGGGGCTTTTATTATGTTCTATTCTGTGACCTAACTGTCTTGTGGACAATTGCATACTGTTTTGTTTTGGCATTCCCACCAGTTACCACTATGGACTCCTTTCTTATTGTATTATCTTAGTGCAAAGCTTTGGATGTTATTCTGTGTTTTGAACCACCTCAGACCCACCCTTGCTGTGCTACACTTTATGTTCTGTATAATCAGAAAAGATCAGATTGCCTTAATCTTTGGATGTGATTAGTTTTCTTCTAACTTTTTGTTTAAATTGATCATGTTGCAGCTCGATTCAAGTACTTATGACTACTGTAAAGTATATTCCCCAGGTTAGGATTTCTTTCAAATTTAATTATGTTTTTTTATCTCTATATATGATTATTGAAATAGTACTTTTTCTTTTTTTAATTAAAAATTCTTGGCAGAACCTAATTTTTTGGTTGTGCTCCTGAATGCCGATGAAACTAATTGCATGTTCTTTTCTGAAATCCCTGCAGTCGATAGTACTTCAACTTAACACCTGTATTCTTGTGTGAGAGAAAACAAATTATTAAATATAAAAATATAAAAGGAGTCAGATGGAATGAGTAAAGGTGGAACTTGATTCTTTCTCTCTAGTAATGGGATCCTCTAGTAGTTTGAAGTATTACTAAAGCAGCATTGGTTGAAGCACCATTTTTCTATCATTGACATTGTGCAGGTGGACTAGTGGTATACAATTGGGTCTTGAGACATAAACTTCATGTCACCAAAAAGACTCTTTTGGAAAACTGAATTATAATACTATCCTAGTTCATTACATATCAGTTGACAACATAACTGATGTAGTACATATTCTGTAATAATAAACTGTTGAAATCTCAAGTAGATTGTTACTTGCAGTATATTTTGTTCTTTATGTTCAGTACTATAGTCCCTTATTTATATACCATTATTTTTTATTTGGCTAGAGACCATACTTTCACAGCTTCTAGCTGTCCATTTAATTAGTTGTGTTATGAATGTAGGCAAGCATGAACTTCGTAAGAAAAAGTACTGACGGCTTTAGCATTGGCAACATTCTGCTTGATTTTTCTGGAGGAGTAGCGAATTACGGACAGATGGTTGTGCAATCAGTAGATCAAGGTTTGCCATCTACTCATCTCTGCTACTGATAGGTCTTGATATTTGATTCTATATTTTCACATTAACATAATTTAAATCCAATCTTTCCAGATTCATGGGTTAACTTCTATGGGAATATTGGAAAAGTGCTGTTATCTCTGGTAAGGAAAACTTTGAGGAGTATTTGACTTTGTTCTTAACTTATAATAGTTTGTTCCTTTTCCAATCCATATATTTTGCATGCACTTGTTGTTCTGATACTGATTCTGGTTTTATTTTCATATCATTATTCTAATCTTAGAACTATATATTCTCTTTTGGTTGAGAAAATAACTCCTTTGATATAAGATTTACAGTTTACCACTCGAGCACCACTTTTTGTGACATTGTTTTTGGTGGAATACACAACTGCAGGTATCTATATTCTTTGACATAATTTTCATTATTCAACATTATGTTCTGTATCCTTCTAAAAAGTCCTCCAAGTTGGTGAACTCTACAGAGCATGAAGATCAAATCACACAGCACCTTGTCAGGCCTTCTGATCAATCACCGCCAGAGAATGTGTAAGACATGATTTGGTTCAAAATGTGTATTAAACTTCCCATAGATTGATACAGGTATCAAAACCATGCACCAGGAGCACCATTTAGCTTAGCTTCAATAAACTTTGTTGTACAAATTTTTAGGATTATAGCCTCATCATCACATTCTTTACAGTAATTTGTTTGAAATTTTTTTTTAGGATTATAGCTTCAATATTATTGTCAAGCTACTGAATTCCTTAGTTGGTGGCTGTGGCAAAAGATCAAATTAAAACAGAAATGTATACCTAATTAAGCTAAAGTATAATGTTGTTTGAAATTTCCTACAATATTCCTCTGCTAGTGCTCATTGAACGAAATATACTGCCTCCGTTAAAATATCTTCGGTACTCTCGCAGTATTGAAGACTCATACATCCTTTACTAAATTTGAAAAAAAGTAATATAATTCACTTTTCCCTATTACCCACCCTTTTATGGTTATTGCCATCTAAATCCAACCTTTTCCAATTTTTAGTAAGGGAGTACGTACTCATATAATACCAAAGATGATATGCTCATAGGGTAGATGTCCCACTTGAATGCTTTCTCCTGGTCAAAGAATCAAAGTGTATGTTACTTAGCTACCAATACTATCCGCAATGAAAAATACAAGGCGTGCGTTTCCAATTTTTGACAAGTGTGGTTTGTCTAATATTAATGTTTCCTTGCAGATGTTGAATCTCATTAGATAAGGCTCTTATGACTTCTGAATGCTATTAGTGGTGTTGGCTTCCTTTATTGCAGCAAGAAGTTATAGTTATTTTAGGTTCAATATAAGTAACTACTGAGAAAATGTACAAAACTAATGAAGTATCATTTGTCTACTGTCTAAACTGTGACAAATCACAAATGTGTTGTAGTTATTATAAAAATACCAATATAATCCGAAAAGCATGAGTAAATTTCAAAATTAATGCTTATTATGAAGAAAAAAAAATTCTTCAAGAAATTTAGAAAATACTATAAATTCCCTCTAAGGGAAATGATGGTAAATTGGTATCCAAAATAACTTTATATACCCCGGTGGAAAGTAAAGGAAACTAACAAAGATGGTTTTTCCCGTTTGATAAGTTGAACAAAGGTAAGTCCGTGATGTTATGAGCACATTATTAGCAAATATTTTGTCACTGTTCTGTTGCTGTTTTTGGATCATATAATTTCATATTTGCATTTTTATCATCTATGAAATTGAAGATTCAAAAAATTAAAAATTTGAAAAATGATTATTTGCAAAAAGGTCTTTTTTATTTGTAATTGCAAAAAGTTTTTATATTTTAAGGGATAAGATATTCTATCTACCTTTTTTTTTTCTTGCTTATCTTACCTACTCTGTAACATCCCGGGCGCTGACGAGGGCGGGGAGTGATCGCCGATGCGAAAGGACATGGACAAGAAGCGGCTCCTAGCAGGCTTCCAGCGACGGGGGTACATGAATGAATCGAATCAACACCCGAAAGAGACGGATTTCAGAGACTGTGCTGGTATGAGACGGTACAATTGAGAATAACTTATAAGAATTAATTGGTACTATCTATACTAACAAGATGCATCTACTTTTCGGTAGCCCAGAATGGAAGAACTCCATAGTTAAGCGTGCTTGACTTGGGGCAATTCTGGGATGGGTGACCTCCTGTGAAGTTTTCCTGAAAAGTGTGCGAGTGAGGACAAAACACGCTGAAAAGTCTCGTGTTAGTGTGTAGAGACAGTCGTTGATCCTTGCAAAAGTTGACAGGCGTTACATACTCATCTTCAATACAATTGGATCAGAATCTCACACCTTCTCTATCTTCTTGAGGTTTTGATCCAATAGTATTAAATATAAGTAGGTAAGGTATGCAAGAAAAAAGTAGGTAGAAAAATTTATTTCATTTTAATGCGTTTAATATTTCTCATATTATATGAGATAATTTTATCTGTTATACACACATAAAAGTGTGTAGGGTCCATGTGAAAAGAAGAAAGAGAAAAGGAAAATATGGGTCCTATGTATTTTTATATATGTATGAAAAATAAAATTATCTCTTATAACATGAAAAAATAATAGACTCTATTTTAATTCGCCCTTCATGAGAATCCAATGGTCTAACACAATTGTTTAAAGCATATCCAATCGTTGCTCCCAAACCCTCAACGTCACAGGTCCATTTTCCATGCAACGGTTGCATGTGCGACCTCCATTAAAAAAATTACATTAGGATTAATTTTTTTTTTCCTGTCTTTTTCGTATAACACCTCCATTCTCTTTTCGGCGTTGATTGGCTCGTTGCACTGAGTCAGTGCGACGGTAATACCTTAAAATTTTTCCAACATCACCCATAATTTGCATATTATGAGGCCTTAGTTCTCTAACGTTCATCATGATAAAAATTTATAATATGATTTAATCAATCATCAAAACTTCTTGAAACAAAAACACTTGATCGAGAATGATAGCCAAATTCTAATTATATATAAAATTCCAAGCAAATAATGGTTTTATAAAATAAATAACATTCGAAAAATATCTAAAAGTAAGAAGAGATTCCTAAAGTACAAAAATAAAAAATTCAAAATCTATAAATTACATAATTATTATTACGATTGAAGCATTAATATCACAATTGTAGCATTAATGATGATTACGATTGTAATATTGATTATGGTTGTGATGGTAATATTGATAATAATTTTTGTATTTGAATTTGAATTGTGTAACAGTAGAATAAGTCTTTTTTTTTTTTTTTTGATAACAAGTAGAATAAGTCTTTATAGTTTAGGATTTGTAACAATTTAGGCACTTAAATTGTGTAACAGGCTTGGCATTTGAATTATGTAACTTGTCTAATCAGGCCTTTACATAAATTATCAACTGATATTTAACTTATTAATTATCATAAAATTCTTAAATTATCAAAGTAATATCTAGATAAAAGTCACAAAATTATCATAACAAAAAATATAAATTATATTGTGTCAACAATGGTTCAAGAACCCTTGTGCTAAATCCTCCGCGCGTGTCCTTGACTTTGTTTGTTTACATTAGTGATTCTTGATTCTTGATTTTTATTTTTTCCTTTAATAAGCCATCACCGCACATAATTATATTATACATTTTCATTATAACCTGTCTTAGTCTGTCAAAATTATGATATATCCTTTCAAGCGCTTACTTCTTCTGAAGATTAGAAACAAATCTAGAAACTACTAATGTGTGCAAAAATGATTATTTTTTTTATGCATAAAATTATTATTTTTAAAAGTAGGAATTGTTTATTTATTTAATACAATTGGCTATGTAGCTCTTTCTCTACACTTATTTAATCCAATGACTTATTCTCTTTCGTTATAAATTCTTGGTCTACACGCATTAAAACTACAAGTACCTTGCTTCCCAAGGTGCATTCCGTGTATACACACCAACCACAAAATTAGCACTATATAAACATACCCTATATATCCCTTTTATCTCATCAATTTCTTCTCTCTTTATTTTTAATATTTTTTTAGCCCACTACTCCAATTGAACAAGAATGAAGAGAGAGGGTCGCCAACATGGTATGGTGCGATCTTATCGGATCCTACCATCAACACTTAAACCGAATACCCGATTCGTCACCCGGTTCGATTCCCCTCCCACTGCTGGGCTTTTCACCAAGGTACCCTCCAAGCCCACCAACCACTCCAAGTTCACAGCCAAGTGTGGCACGCCACACTGCACCATATGCCACCTCAACCCAACATGCAAGTCCAAGAACAAGACCAAAGGCAACCAAAAGCACAAACACAGCCGGGTCATGGATCGACCCGATTCGAATTTTTCCGGGTTGTCCGTAACCATGACGTTGGACATTCTTTCTAATGTCCACATTGAAGATGAGGTGGAAGATGAAAGTGGTGACCAAGACGATTATCATATGGATTATTCATGCACTTTAAATGATGGCATATGTATTTCTGAAATGGGGTTACCGTTGGGAATTGATCATGTTGAAGAAGAAAAAGACGAAGATAATGATTGGTGTTGGGTTGAACCTTGTTCATGATTGATGATATTGTTATTTATGTAACAATTGCTTGAAAGGAGTGAAGGATATAAGTTTGCATTTGAATAGTTTGAGCGTCAAAAATAATGAAATATGCAAATTGTTGACATTTACACGAACTTTCGGATTAAAAGCTTACCACAAGATTAAAAGTTATAGCTTTTAATCAGGCCATAACTCTATTTATCTTTATCAGCTCAAGCGCTATGATTGAGCTGATGATTAGTTTGATGTAAAATTATGGATGATTCCTTTTTAATTACCATTCCACAAAATCTCATTTACATAGTGTTCCGGATGCTATTTACTAAGGCCCACCAGATGAGTCCAATCGTTTAAAGCCCACATCTAGAACCTTCTAGATGACACCCATGGCAAGTCATAGAGGCTCACCACTGAGACAGTTCCCATCCCTGCACTGCTGCCCCGACAGTGGGCAGTTTGATGAGACAGCTCATGGGCTGACCAGCTCAAGCCCCCATGAAGAGAGAACTCTCCTCTCTAAATACCCCTCTCACACATGGAGAGGGGATCTTCTTCTTTCCCACTCCTCTCATATGCTGTCATACACACACTCCCCCTTTGAGCACATACATGAGAATCTCCACTAGTGTCTTGGTCTCTACCATTACTACTATGTACACCCCTATATAAACATACTTCACCCTCCATGGAAAATATTTATGTACCACTCTAAGTACATATAGCTTATGAATAGCACTAAAATTTGATACATCAATTAAATTCGTACTATTTTTTTAAAAAAAAAAAAAATGAGTAAAGGGGGCATCCCATGTTGCTACGTACCCAAAATACACACACCAAAGGATTCATTTTCAAGAAGGTAAATTTACATTTTAAATATGATCTTTAGCTGCAAGAAGAAGCACAAAATCCATACTGTACTTTCTGCCTAAAATTATTTGTAATTTCTATCATTCTGGTTTCCAAGCTGAATATTTGGAGATGTATTTTCAAAAGGAGTAATCACAGTGGAATTTGAAGTGAGAAGCATAGACAAGGTGCCACCATTCTTTCCCTGGAAATGTCTCTTAGGAGGTAAAGAGCTTTTGCTCACTACTACACTTCTTCCTTCTTTGGGTGATTCATGGGGTGTCAGCGGATCCTGCAATAAATCAGCAATTGAACTTATATCAGCTTTTGGCTGTTGAGGAGAATTGGTAACAACTTGTTCTCAAATAAATAGCTTGGATCATTATTAGCAAAATAAATGATAAATCCCGGTGCACAAGGTCCCTCAATTTGCAAGGATAGAGATGAGGGTCAATTGTAAATAGTTTTATTCTTATAATTTTACAAATGGGTTGTTTCTTAGACTCAATCTCGTAATTTTCTGATCACAAAGAGCAACCTTATCGCTGCTTCAAGACTCACCATCTTCATTATTTGTAAACATATGGGAAAATATACCTTCCTTGTCTCTCTCTTTGATGCTTCTCTTTCCTTGTGAAAATCAGGTAGTGGCATGGCTATGCAACAAAAGCTTTGACGTAGTTTTCTCATCTTTACCTCTGCTTTCTCCTGCACGTAAGAGGATTGAATGCTACTGATTAAGCTGAAGGAACCATGTAAGATAAAGATCACATTGACAATTTACTCTTGGTGTTGTTGATGTTACATATCAACCCACCTTGAGTTTTGTATGCAGTTGCACTTTGTGAGCTTCACTAGCATTGAGCTTTTTCTCAAGTTTCTGAATTGATGAAGATCAATAGACAAAGAAAGTCAAGTAATTTAATAAGTATATTAAGGTTAATGTCATAATCAACTGAATCAGAAGAGAAAAGTAATGAATGTAGTTTTGCCTTCTTTCTACTTGCAGCCCTTTCTTCTGTCCTCAAGATAAACATGGAGGATATATTCGAGGGTGTCATTTTATTTCTGCATGCATTTAAAGCATTGCAAATATTAGTCTAGAAACAATAACCACAAAAATGAAGCCTCTTCAAGGTGTAGATGCAAATGATGGTAAAGGTGCTTGTAACACAATCCACTTAAAGCATCGAATGTTTTTGGAGCTAATACATAACAGTCATATATATACACATAAAACTGTATATATAATCATACGCCTGTGATTTGTGCTCTTCATAGCCTTTCAGCCTTACCGCTAACATGTTTCAATTCATTTCTATTATCAAAAAATGAATGCCTCAAGACAAATTGATCAGTTATTCTTGACTTAAAAATTCTTAATACGTGTTAATCTGATGTTTAAAAGCAGGGTCATATGACAAATAAGTAGGTCTTTTGCTCCTATGATTTTCAAAATTTACAGCAGGATGTGATTAGCTACAAAATAGTTGGAACAAAACATTTTTGTCATGTGATTAACAACTTCTCAAAATCAGGTACCTTTTCTTTTCTGTTAATGGGGTAAAAGAAGAATGCTTTTGCAACTCATTCTTTGAAGCCTGCAATAGAAAAATGACTCACTTTAGCATCCTCGACAGCAATTACAACTTGGAAGATCATAACAAAATGAAAGTTGAGGGTTTTGTTAGAGGGTATATAATTGAATAGGTATAGCAAGGAGGCTGGAATACCTTTGAAGCCATGGAAGAACCAGCTCCACCTCTTGTACATTCAAATTTTCTCATGACTGTTGCTGTTAATCTTCTAACTTCTCTAATGAGTGTGAAATCAAGTGACATATGGAACGACTTAGCAGTTGATCTCTTTTTATCAGCAGAGCTTAATGGAGACTCATTGCTCACTGGGGTAGCAATATTATCTCTTTTTGAAACAAAAGGAGCAGTGGATTTGACTAGTGTAGAGATGAACTTAGAAGTTCTAATACCCTTTAACAACTTGGATAAAGAAACTTTTTTTTTCTTCCTGCCCATTGATCGCAAAACTTCCTTATCAAAGTTGGAACCTTGCTGCAAAAACTACTTTTGTGTAAGTTCCATCTACTAGAAGAATCAAAACAGGAAAAAAAAATTCTGGCAACAAAAATTAATAGAATTTACCTTCATTGTGTCCATTGAAGGTGTTGCACTAGCCTTTTCACTTAGCTCCTTATGGTTATCAACATCTTCAAGCTGGTTTTGCATTTTAACCAACATTGAACTCCCTACAAAAGCTTGGTGTTCTATCTCCAGTTGAGCTCCTACCACCTTGTTACTTTGAGGTAAAACCTTTGCATTTTCTTCACTGACAGAAAGTTCAGATTTTGGACTTTTCAGTTGTGAATTATGGGTGTTATCAACTACTAATGCCTCGTGTTCTTGATCTGTCTGTGTGGCACTGTTTGCTTGTTCATGCAAAGCAGCAGCTTTTTGAGCAGCAAGTTTCTTGAAGTGAGCTTCAAAGAAAGCTTTCTTCTGTGCAACTGAACCAGGTTGAGAAATCCTCTCTGCCTCTTCAACATAGTGGTTGGGAGAGAAAGGAGACCATTTCTCCCATGCCAGTGACTCTTCGGATATGAACCTCCCAAATGAGATTGATCCTCCAAGTGCATGAATTGGGTTGCTCTGAAATTCAAAAGTTCCACAGGTTTTTCAAGGTGAACATCCATAGAATCATAGAGAATGGAAAGGTCTAATCATAACTAATTGCAATCCCCCCAAAAAACAAACAAGAAAAGAAAGTTTTAAGGTACTGTGTTATGGAAACCCAACTCATCAAAAATAGTAACAAGCAGTAATATGCAAATTTACAACCCCAAATATGCACACACACCTTGATAGAAATTAAACAAGTGAAAACAAAAATGAACAACTCAATTGTTATTATTTCTCTCTCTTTTATCCTGTTGTTCATTAAAAACATGAAAAATGAAGAATTTTATGAGGTAAAACAAGGAAAATACCATTTCACAGAATCCAAGAATCCAATAGTACAAAATCTTGGAAACAGAAGTGGCTGCTAAATGAACTGACCTTGTTAGAAATGCCAGTGGCATAACAGAAAGGTTGCATGAGACAACCAGATGAGTCTCCCATGTTTCTCTGCAACATCCAAATCTCAAGAGATCCAAACTTTAATATTTATGTTATGATTCACTTTGCTGCTAGTATCATTTTCATTTATGGGGTTGGTTTCATTCATTTGTCCACCCATTCAAATTTGAATTTTCAAATAAAAAAGCTGTGAAAGCCCATGTGATGTGGAAAAAGTAAACAACTTAAAAGTCTTTTAAGAGATTAAAAAGGAGCAGTGTAGTGCAATCTTTTCTAGTTCCATACTTCCAGTAATCATGTTTGGAGGAGGCCCTGATATAATAAAGGTAAATGAATGGATAACAAGCCAAAGTTTAAAAATATAAAATAAAATAAAAAATTAATATTTGTAGTCCTAAGATTCATACATAATTAATGATAGATAAACTGTTACTGATTTGATGAACAAAATCACAACTATAATTAATTATAAAATATTTGAAAAAGCCCACATAAGGCCAAAATATATTATTTTAGCCCTATAAATAAACGGATTCTCCCTTTTAATCTTTTTCAAATGGTCTGGGCGCTTAAAAAAATAGAGTAAATCTTCTTGTCTATGTATTGGCTAGTTTTAACAATAATCAAGAGTATTTATTTTCAAAGAAAAACAAAATATCAATAATTATGTAACGTATCAAGAATTTAAGACGCTTAAAGAATAATTATTACTTAAAATATTTTTAGATAAATAAATTTTTAATAATAATTATTACTTAAAAAATTTATTGTAATTATTAATTAAAAAATTTATTGTAATTATTAATTTGATTTAAATGAGATAGGTCTTCTTAGGATTGATTAACGATTGATGATGGAGTTGATGGTAGGGTACCGATTCAAACTACGGTGACCGAATCGAAAAAATTGATAGCCGAATAAATTGAAAATCGAAAAAAATTACAAATTTTCGGATTGATTGATCCAAACCGATCCAATCCAAATCGATCCAATCTAAATTGATCCAATATATTAATTTTTCTCTACCTACTTGAACTTTTCCCCAACTATAGCCCAAACATTTCAAAACACAAAACTCATTAACCCATCAACTAAACTCAAGAAAAAATTTAGTCACATCTCATCAATAAAATTTCATCTATATAGACCTTCATATCTCATTGCAAACAAAAAACTATATTATCGTTTATGATGTTTTTCTGTTTTAAAAAAAAAAATTACAAAGAGCCAATATATACAAAAGATGTTACTTGCACAATAATCGAAAAACATATTCAATCCAAACTGAAATTTTTTTGGATTGGATTGGATTAGATTTGAAAAAAAAAAATCCAAATCGAATGGATAATTACATGATCAAACCGAAGAAAATGAATCGAATAATGTTTCCTTCGAAAATAAATTCAATTCAAACCGCGAATATGATGGCCGTTTCAATTCAATTCGAATAATATTCCCCAATACATATACGTAGATTTAGGATTTGTAGTTCGGCCGTTTGAAAGCTGAGTTGTATCGCAGGTCTCCTAATTATATAAAATTCTTAAAAATAAGAAAAGATATTAAAATCTCACATAACATAATTATCTTTAAATTCATATATTAAAATAACATTAAAAACATTAATTTATTATGCATCATTAGGGGTGTTCGCGGTCTGGATTGGATCGGTTTTGGAAACAAAAATCATCCGATCCAATCTCTTCGGTTTGATCATGTCACCATCTATTCGGTTTGGATTTTTTTTCAAATCCGATTCGATCCAATCTAATTTTTTTCGGTTTGGATTGGATCGGTTTTCGATTTTTTGAAAATCTTAAAATTTGCTTTATGGTTATTGTGCAAATAACATTTTTTGTATAATAGGCTTTGTAAAAAAAAAAATTAAACAGAAAAGTAAATGATAATATAGTTTTTTTTTTGCAATGAGATATGAAGCTTTACACAAATAATTTTTTGTTGATGAGATGTGACTAGGTTTTTTCTTGGGTTTAGTTGATGGGTTAATAGGTCTTGGGTTTAAAAAATTTTGGGCTATGATAGGAGGAAAGACCCAAGTAGGTAGAGGGGAATTAATATATTGGATCGGTTTGGATTGGATCGGTTTTCATCAACCCATCCGAAAACCGATCCAATCCAATTAAAATTTGCGGTTTTTATTCAGTTCTCAATTTTTCGGTTTTCGGTTTATTCGGTTATCGGTTTTTCGGTTCAATTACCGCGGTTTGAATCGGTTTAGATCGGTTTATGAACGCATCATTCTATTTCTCTAAAAGAATTTGCCTCTAGAGAGTAAACATAGTGTACTTATTCAGAGTTTTAACAAAAAGAAAATTGATTCTCTTTGATGGCGAGCAATAAAAAATATTAAAATTTGTAAAGGGTATGAAAATCAAAGGCAAAATGATTCATGGAGTGTGATAGTTGGGTCCAAATTTTAAAGCAATGAACGGAGTGGGTTGCATATCAAAATTAATATCTTATAACAATTTGATGTAGAAGGGTAACCAAGAGTAGTTCCTTTGAATAGGCTTATAAGTTATAGGGGATAGGCTTATTTAGGATACTTGGATGAGTTTTTTTTTTTAAAAATAAAATAAAATAATGCATTATTTTTAGGAATTTTCTTTTTAAAAAAAAATTAAAGTTATTTTGTATTTATATATATATATATATATATATATATATATATATATAAAATTATGTGGAGCCCATGTGAGGTCATTTGAAGAGAAAAGAAAGAAAAAAGAATCTGTCCCACACGCTTTTATGTGTGTATATGTGATAAAACTATCTTCTACAACATGAGAGATATTAAACCTAAAAATGAAAAGAACTTTTAATTAAAAAATATTTCTATATTAAAATAAAAAATTATGTTTAAAATTACTAAAACGAATATGTGAAAGCAAATTAGTAACCCCAAGGTGTAGCTCAGTTGGTAAGCGGACTGTAGCTCAAGGGTCGGGCCCCCGTGACTTATGAAGTCATGGTTTCAATTCCTACGAGAAGCACTTTGGGGTCAGTGGAGAAAATCATTACACTCTAAGCCACGAAGAAATTAGTCTTATCGTACGGGATGGGGATACCATGAGTTTACTCAAAAAAAAGAGAGAAGCAAATTAGTAAGTAAGATGTGGGGTTGAAATAATAATAATAATAATAATAATAATAAGGGTCTCCAACTTCTTATGTTGCTGCAAAAATTTTCCTCTCATACAACCAATTACAACTATGTACTAGAAGTAGTACATAGTTGTAATATTAAAAAAAAAATTCTCCCCACCACATTAGCCGACAGCTTTAAAAAAAATAACTTTTACAATCACAACCCCTTGCAATATGAGAAATGATTTTGCCTAATAATAACAATAATATAATTATGGAAGCAATATTTAATTGATCATTTCATACGACATAAGTTTACGTGAGACGATCTCAATCGTCCAAAAATAAATAAAAGATGATCCTTTTAACCTATATCTTAATGCATTTTCCAATAACTTATTAATTTGTATTTGAACGGCTGAGATTGTCTCTCATATGAGGGGATCCATTCCCCTTTCAATACACTAGTTTAGATAACTCCTTGGGATAAGGAGATTTGGGAAAGAGCTGGTCACAACTACAAACAATTCAATCCTTATGGTTAGCCTTACTAAAAGTGACCAATTCCCTACACTAATTTGCAGCCCAAAGTGAAGAAGAATGGGCTCAATTGGGGAGAATAACCTGGGTAGATCATCAAGTTATCATTGATCTTGTGCAGAAGCCCAACCTATGAACAACATAAGAAAATCCAAAGGCAAAGATTGAAAAGAAGAAGGGAAAAAGGAAATAAGTGAGAGAAAGTTAAATAGTCTACGGCATTGCAAATGAAGTGCTAGATGATTAGGGTCACAGTAAGAATAATAAATATGTCATAAGGTTCAAATAGATAACCATTTAAAGAGAGTAAACTCACTTCTGCAGCACCAAAAGAGTATCCATACATCTCACTGATCCATCCTTTCTCATAGATGGATATGTTTGTTCCCTTCTGAGCCCTACTTGCCACACTTCTTTTATTTTTGAAAGCCACATATATGCCAAAGCTTGTATAAGGTGATAATATGCATGCCAAAAGCTCACCCACTTTGTCAGAGGGTTCTGGGTGTTTTGGTTGCAATTGAGCTAAAATATTGTAACAATCCCTTGAGTACCTGAATTTTTGTGATGTTTATGGCATGTTTCAATGGTGAGACAGAGAAAGAAACACTGAAAATAAAATACAAAATATATGTACTATTTCAAGAAATTCAGACAAGCATGGTTGATTTTTGTTGTTGAAAAAGTTTTCTGTTTTCAACAACTAAAATACAAAGTAAAACTTGTTTGGTTATCTGTTTTTTATTTGATTGTTTTGAAAACTTGTTCTGCATAATCATTTTCAGAATAGGAAAACAACAACGTAACGTTTAATTACCCATAATTGTTTTGTTTTCTTATTCTTCATGAATTCTTTACTCTCATTTGGAGTTGTCGTTGTTGTCTTTGAAGCTGTGGCCCGTCAGGTGTCAGAGAATTATATAAACAATTAAAAGACCATCGCCCAATACTTGGGTTGAAATGATTTTTTTGTATAGTATCGTAGCTTCACTGATCATAAGATCACGAATTCGATTCTCACCACCTTCATTTGTGGATTAAATAAGCATAAAGTAAAACAACAACAAAAATTGGACCTACTAAAAAAACCCATTAAAATGACTCTTGCCGTGAAGAATTGTATTAGAGAATAATATAAACTATTAAAAAAAATCATTACCCAAAACATTAAGATTTTGAATTGAAATAATTCTTTATAATAGCTTCCGCCACAACCTGATAGGAAATCTGTTCGTAATTCTCAGAAATGGGGAGAACCCACAAGAAAAGAAAATTAGCTCAAAAGAATTTATCTATTCATTCCTATTTTCTTATAAACAAACTCTATTTATAGTCACTGTATATGGGCACCCTGTATCTATGTTTCTTAACCATTTTGAAACCAACATACTAACTATTTCATAACAAACAAAAGAAGCTCTAACTAATTCTCATCGTGAATTATGACCATTTACGGAAACATAAGGAAAGAACAATCAACATTTAAAAAATTATTTTAAAAAAAATATGGAGCAAGTTTTTTTTTAAATATTTTCATTCTTGTGAACACTATATTTTATTCATATTTTTTAAAAACATCGTTTGTTGGGGTTTGCTGGGTAAGTCAGGAAATCCATGGTATGAAGAGATCTAGCACCAAATAAAGTAAGAGGCAATCCATCACAATAAACGAGTTCGACATCAAATCTCAATTCAAAATTTAGATATATTGAATTTATGGGTACGACATAAGTTTATGTCTCATATTATCATTTTCTACTTTTATTCAATTCTTGTACTCTAATCTCCCCTGTACTGTCGATTAAACAACGGACCCTAAAAGTTTGATGTGGAGACAATAATTTTGATACTTCAATTCTCGTGGAGACGATACTCTACTTACCCTTTATTACTTGGTACGATCGGTGGACTTGCCGATTTTACGCAACATTACTCCTAACACAAACACCACCTAAAAGGTTGATGTGGAAGAACCCTTTTACCTTTGTGTCCAAAAATAGCTAATTCTCTTCAATTTATGAAACGAGGGCTTCGATCAGTGTGTTTAACCGTTGACTGTGGGACCAGTGCTAATGTACTATATATGCATATAAGCAGATACGCCAATGTTAAACATAATTCCGTCGTGGATCTCATGTTCCTCGTTGCTTCCCTTAATTGCTCACAGATTCATGCATGTAAAGGAAATAGTGGTTCCACATCAATAATTTTCAGTGCTTGGCACGACTCATTGCCAATCATCTGAATTCATATGTCAATAAAAAATTATTTCTAAAGCAAGCTACCTAATGTACATCTTAAAGTTGCAATAGTCATCAATTTGTCCCGGCATGTTTGATTATTTAAGGAGCTTTAAGTGTATATAATATATTAATATGGCCACTTTCTCCTCATAGACAATCATTACGATATATATATATATATATATATATATATATATATATATATATATATATATATATATATATATAATTTCATCTTTGAGAATTTCAAAAAAAATTTGTCCTTATTTTAAGTTGCAATTTAATTTTGAAATAAAATAACTATAGTACAATTGTTATGTTTGAAGGGAGAAGTTATGTTTACTATTTTTTTTTTAGTATCTCTTGTTATTAAATTTTAACTATTGATTTTCATCAATTTAACAGTTATAATTTATCGAAAATTAATAATTAATTAATTAGTGTGACCTAATAAATTATAACTATTAAATTCACGAAAATCAACAGTTAAAATTTGATAGATAGTAAGAAATAAAAATAAAATAAAATAACTATAACTTGTCCCATGTTTCGAATATTACTTAAAATCACTAAACATGTGAATCCATTGATTAGAGATTGTTTCGGCTTAAGAAGTGTTCTCGAAATCAAGTTTTGACTATTCATTTGTGTTAAAAAACTTGGTTGTGATAGATTTATCACCTTTTATGGTTCTGCGGACCGGATTAATGGAATAATAGAAGAACTAGGAGAGAAATCTCAAAAGAAAAACAAAATATATTACCTTCAAAAAAAAAAAATAGCAACAGTTCATGATGATGAGTTTGACTACTTTGCTAAAAACCCCAACAGTCACGAGGGGACAAGAAAAAGTGATGATCTTATCAACTCTGCAGTGTTGAGCCCCAGATGTGGTGGGACATAGGGATGTTGTCGAGGAGCTCAATCCAAGCAATATATTAAGGAACATGCGATTACAAAAAACCAATTCGCAATTCAATATGGAATCATCATCACATTAAGCATCAATGCAACCAAAAACAAGAAAATGCAGGGATAAAAGTGGCACTATACTCTATATTAATCTTTTAATAACATTTTATTGCTTGAGAGATTGTAAAGGTAGGGGCAGCTTGTAAGAGGTAGTCATGCTTATTCCCTATTTTCCATGAAGAAAATATCTTGGTCAAGAGGGTTGAAACCATCCCATGAGAGAATGGAATCCATACTATCAACCCATTGCTTTAAGGAGTTTTCCTGAAGGTAAGTGGATTCACCCATTGAAAGGTTGCTAGAATCATCCACAGAGACAGAGGAACTACATAAAGAATTAGTACTAGTGTTGGTTTCTTGGCTCACCCATGATCCCATATCCAATTGTGAGCATAGCATTTCAAAATTGTTTAAAAGTTCAGCAGTGTCATCCCAAGTCACCATGTTTTCCTCTCCTTTCCCTTCTGCTTTTGTCATTTCTTTGGTGCCATCACTTTCCAAGGATTTAATCTCCACATTGTCTTCAGAACCTTGGGAAACATTTGGTTGTAGTTTGGTATTATTATTGTCCTCATCAATGTGATCCTTTTGTTCAGTTGGCATGTGGGTCACAGGGTCCACACCAAGGAGCTTCAGCCTCTTTTTGATTCTTGTGTTCCAATGGTTCTTGATTTCATTGTCGGTCCTCCCAGGAAAATGTGAAGCAATCTTAGACCATCTGAAAATGTGCTTCATTGTGTTAGAGAACATAAATTATGCAATCCAGTGATATTGTTTTAGAACTAAATTTAAGATCATATACCAGGCTTCTTCACATACATACTAATATACTATCCAAAAATCATAAAAACATTTTTCAACCTGTTACCAAGTCTTGAATGCAGTTGTATAATTTGATCCTCTTCCATTTCAGTAAAACCACCTCTCTTGAGGTCTGGCCTCAGATAATTAATCCATCTTAGTCTGCAGCTCTTTCCACATCTTAGAAGACCTTAACATGCATGCAAAATCCACCAAGTCAGATACAGATACCCCTTTAATGCAAAGTAATCAACTCTAGAGCATGTGAACACAACTTCAAGAAATTTTACCTGCAAGTTTTGGAACCATTCTCCAACAATGGATACCATTGTTGAGGATGAAGTTCATGAGCTTGTGATCTTCCTCAATAGTCCATGGACCTCTCTTCAAACCAACCTTATCACAACAAGGTTGTCTTCCCATTTTGGAAACTTTACCTTGGGAAATCAAGATATCCCTTGAGAGTTAACAAATGTGAAACATGAAAAAGTAGGCCTTAAAAAGGAGCTTAAGATTGAAGCAAAGATGCTGCCAGTTCATTCAGACATTTAAATAAAAGCAGAATGTCCTTAGAAGGGGGAGATAAATGATTGGTCGGAAAGCACTTTAGAGTTGAAATCTAGAAAAGCATGGAAGGGATGTCATTATAAAATGGTGGTCACCACTCACCACCCTTGTTGAGACAATAGAAAGAGTCTACTTGAACCTGAAATATTTCTACAAAGGAAATAACCAAAATGTGAGAAACCCCGTTGACAAATTCTATTTTTTGGTGCTAAAATTTTCTCTTATTTTGTACCAATCCATATGACCCTTTTAAAAATATTGAGTTTGATGGGATTCCATGGACCCCAAAAGGCTGGCCAGTTTTGTCGTTGCAGGCAACCCTCGTTTTATCTTTCAGTACATAGATGCCTTCCCCATTATGCCAAAGTGTCCTGAAATTCCACCTGTGGATTCACTTGAGAAATTGGGAACTTGATGAATCAAGTAAGTTTGTGGTTATTACTACACAGAAAAACTATTCTTGCCATTCAAATTTTATATTGAACTTGGAAAAGGACATCAGTATTTGTGATTTATAAAATTATAAACCAAGCTTTCTAAGTGACATCATTAAAAAGTGCTTCATATAATCAGCTATATACTATGTTATATTTATCACTCTATCTTATGTTAAACTTTTTTTTTTTAATTTGTCCACCCATTCATCCATTAAGCAGGCTCCAGTTCTATTAGATCCTTAGTACAATTTTTTTCTATTCTTAGACTCAAACTCGAGATCTTTAATTAGAGAAAATAAGTTTCTTACTCTTTTGAACTATTAATTATTGGTATTACGTTTTCACTTATGAATATTCTCATTCTCCTAGTGGTTTAAAACCCAAAGTAAATCACCATTTACCAATAATGGTCAGAGAGAGAGAGAATATATAGCGTACTTATTGTACCCTTTGGTAGACATGACCACGTCATAAAACTTCAAAACTAGAGAGTTGGTTAAGCCAAGTGCCAAATTGTTAATGTTCATTGCTCTCAATGAGCTTTTTGACAAGTGATTTTGCTAAAGGGATAATGAGATCGAAGGATCTTAAAATGAGCATAAAAGCTTGTGGGGCATTTCATAAACTGCGCAGAAAGAATAAATTCAGAACCCACATTCCCCTGTGTAGGAGACATTAGTGTCAGATAGATTTTAAAAATTTCAATACAAAATCCTAATGAGTGTGCATTTGGGAACCTGCAAATGAATTCAATTGATGGTTGAGAAAGATGTGATGCCACCTAGTGCTGGTGTGGAATATTGATGGTATTGCTTCCAAGAGTCAAGAAGTATTTTGGCCTTTTCAGCATAATAATATGAGAAAGGAAATATTGTATGGTATTGATTTAAAATTTAAACATTTTGTCAAAATAATACATGAGACACGCAATGGCGAAGCCAGAAAAATTGAGAAGCTAGTGCCAAAAATCAGCCAACCATAGAGGAAGTTAGTGCCAAAACCAGCAATTATGAAAGAAGGAAATCATTTACGGTCACTGAAGATCAAAAAAAACTTTTGATTTTAGAAACCAGCTAGTGCCAAGGCACTTGCTGATTTCAACGTGGCTACGCCACTGGAGACATGATGTTTAGTATTCAAGTCCTGCATAAGATAATTGCATAACTTGTGCATAAGGAAATGTGTGTTTGCCACATGTCTTGCGGCTTTTTGACCCTTTTGCCCCTCATTAAATAATTAATAACCAATTTGCCCCTCCCCCAGAACTATCCACCATCCTGCCCCCATTTAGTCGATTAAGTTGCACTTTTAATCGACTAAATGGGCAAAACTCAGAAATCAAGAAACGCGAATTTTAGTCGACTAAAAACTCACCTTAATCGACTACATTGTTTGCACTTTTAGTCGACTAAGCACATTATTTAGTCGACTAAATATCGCAGATTAGGTTTTTAAAAAAACCCCCATTTCGCAAAGGGGGTTATTTTCAAACCCTAATCGACTAAATCGCTCCATTCCGTCCCCTCTCTCCAACCAAGTCTGAATCTCAACCCTTGAAGGTGCGATTGAAGCATCCTTCGTTCACACTTGCGAAATCGACATTTAGGTAACGTATTCTAACTTGCATTTGGTTTTAAGTTTAGGTTTTTTTTTTTGTTTTCTCCATTCATTTGATTTCTGTTTGCGGTTTTGTGCATTTAGGTTAGGGGTAGGGTGCTAAGTTTGTTGTGAGGGTGAGGGTTAGGGTTGATGTGGTGGCTTAGGCTTAGGGTTAGGGTTATGTTAGGGTTAGGGTTAGGCTTAGGGTTTATGTTGCTGTTTTGTTTGGGTTGTAGTGTTAGGGCTAGGAATGGTTTTTTGTGATGTGCTAGGGTTAGGGTTAGGGTTAGGGTTAGGGTTTCTGTCTTAGGGTTAGGGTTAGGGTTTTTGTTTTCTGTTTTATTTTAGGATTAGGTTTTGTTTTTTATATTGAATTTTAAATTCTTTGATATTGTTATTGTTCATTGATATTTGTTTCCACTTGCATTGTAGGTACAGTTGTTCCCATGGCTGGACGTAGAAGATCGTCTAGCACTGGAAATGAGAGACGACAGAAGCTACGACAAGACCGTCCGTCTTCGTCAAGGCCACAAGAGGAAGAGCACGCTGCTGTCGACCTTCCATTCGGATACTTGTTCGAGAATGACCCCGTGGTTCATGAATCTTTTGTCTGTGACTTTGTTAACCGACCGATTTGTGGGGCCAAATCACTTGATACAGCCTTTTTTGAACAAGAAGGTTTTAACATTGTGAGGTGGTTGGAGGAATCACATCTTAGGACCTTGGCTGAACTGTCGTGTTCATATTCTGAGCTGCATGTACGGGCCTTCTACCATAACCTCAGCTACGTACATGGTGAGCTGAGGTCTAGGGTCTGCGGGGTGGAGATCATCATGACGGCTCCGGTATGGTTGGAGTTACTGGGGTATGACTTTGATTCTGCGCAGACTGTGGAATATGACGCAGATAGCGGGACCATACTTCCAGGATATACACGAGGTGATGCCGTGCAGGAGCAGAGAAGAGTCTGTGGGCAACACATTGCCTATACGGTGGGGTTGCTTACTGTGGAGTCCCACATACTACACTATGTCATCATCCACATTCTGTTTCCGCGAGCGTTCAATCATTCCAGGGTGTTGGAGCACGACATTCCCATCATGTGGGCTATCCGACATGGTACTTCGGTGAACTGGATGCACTACATCTGTTGGATGATGTATAAGGCCAAACACAAGGGTGCACTTCCATTTGCTTGTCTTGTTCAGAGGATATTGGAGCATTTTGATGTTCCCATGGGTAATGTGACCTTGAAGAAGACCACAGGGTATAATCATAAGTTTGGAAAACGTCTACTGGAGCAGTGCAAGATGACAAAGAACCCCCAAACAGGAGTGTGGCAGTTCACAGGTCCGGCTGATGTTGAGGTTCCTGATGTTGCTCCAGTTGTAGACATGGTTGAGCCCGAGGTGGAGGATGATTATGACGATGATGATGAGGGTGACCAGCAGGAGATAACTGAGCCTGAGGGTGGGTTTTCATTGCGTGATGTCATGAAGGGCATAAACGCCACGCTGAAGAAAATAGGAAAAATGGCGCTGAAACACAAAAAATGGAGGAAGAGTCACGTGCAGAAAGGAAATGAAAGATTTAGACATATACAGGGACGATTCAAGGGTGTTGAAGATAGGCTTGCTCGTCTAGAGCTTGGACGAGGACAACAGATTGAGGATGTTGCAGGGCAGGGGGCTGATGTGTCAGATGAGGATAACGAGGAGACAGCGTCCGAGGAGGAGGAGGATTAGATTTAGGGTTTATGTTTTTATTTTACGTTTGTAGTGTATGTTGTTATGTAATTGACTTCGGTCTTCCTATTTGACATTTGTAGTTTATGTAATATTATGGTTATGAGCTGAACTATTTAATGTTCCCATCATGTTGTGAACCGTTTACGTAATTATTGATGTTTTCTTGTTTACCAAATGAAGGAACATGGTTATTTTACATTCTTGTTTTCAATTTGTGTCTAATCACAGTCCAACGGGTCTAAAATATCCAATGAAATTCAGAACAGGTGCTCATAACAGAGTTAAATGAAGAACACAAGTTTCGGGTACCCTAATCCAAGATTTATGCAATACATGTACATTCATGGTTTATAACCTGTACAATACAATTTTGTACCTGAAAGTGTGTTCCCCAAGTCATTATATGCGTGTACATTGATATTCGATCGGTTCCGTGCCAAAAAAATGCGTGCAAAACAGAATGGGGTGTCAAAACCAGTTATTTAGTCGAGCAACCTTTTACTGGTTTAGTCGACTAAACTGTGTAGTCGACTAAACCAGCACAGGTTGCTCGACTAAATAACTGGTTTTGACACCCCATTCTGTTTTGCACGCATTTTTTTGGCACAGAACCGATCGAATATCATTGTACACGAATATAATGACTTGGGGAACACACTTTCAGGTACAAAATTGTATTGTACAGGATTCGTATGCGATTGGGTACGTATTGCTTGAAACCGTTTGTTTACGCTCCCCGAAACTTGGTGATTTCATTTTTTGGTAATATTAGTATTAGTTATGAGTTTCAATCTATCAATATGGACCAATGTTAGATAATGGACTTAGAAATGAAATGTCAAATTACATAACGAGTTATACAGTAACACAAAGTAACATCAAAATTCATAACAGAATTACATGAACTCTTACAAAAGACCTTACATACATGCACAACATTGACTCAGCTAGGATTAATCCTCATAGGACATGTATGTTTATTGTGACCAATTTGCTTGCAGGTGCTACATCTAGTTTGACTGCTTGTGGGTTGGGACTCAACCCAATCCATTTCATTCTGTATCCTTGAAGACTTCGG